GTTTTAAGATCAACCCATTTTTTTTACATTTAGTCCAAATTCTTATACCTAATGATGTCGGGTAGGTGTGGTTAGGTTAGGTTTGGCTTATGTTGCCTTGCATAATGGTTTTAACCTTTTTTTCCTTGTCCATGGTTATATTTACCTTCTGCATTAAATCAATGACAAGTGAACGTTAAGGAGATTTGAAACATCTGTTCTGTGACTTTTCCTCGCCACTATTGATTCGGGGATGACGTTGTGTCCGTAGGTTTTGTTAATGTGGTTATTCCTATTATTTTAAGGAGGTTTTTAAGGGTTCAGTAGTGGCATGATTTTGTTTTTGGAGTTTTGTTCAGAGATAAAAATTCACTAGTGTCTTGTCAGATGTAAGCCTTCAACCCCAAACATATATATGGAGGAATATGGAACTTGTAGTGCCAATTAAGAGTTAAACTGAATACTAAACAAGAATTCACCTGATTGGGACAATTTAATCTCTCTCCAACTCAGGTCAATTTTGTGTTACGAGGTTGTCTCAGATTTTCATAGCTGACCCGACGACACAAGTGATTTTCTGTTTCATTGGCGAGGTACTTAATGTCTTCTGTACACGTGGCTCCAAAAGATTATTTGTGTCTATTGAACCCCTGAACTGACCCATACAATCCTGTGTCAATGCTGTGAATACTATGGTAGACGCTTGAAGGCTCGGACTATGCTGAAAATGCTGATATAGTTTTTGGCAGTTTGTGGTTCGTTTTGTGTGGTACTGTACTGTACCGTATAGGTAACGGCCTCGTACCTGCCTGTAACATGTAGATATTTTGGGCGTTTTGGGTTAATTATATGTGGTAATAACTGGTACAGTCTCGTTCAAGATTCTTCTAACACTGCTGGAGACAGCTGGCAACTCAAGGCCGTTTGTTTACTATAGTACGAAAAAATTAAGAATGAATGTAAAAGGTTATCGGTGATTGGTTACTTAGTTCCCCGTTGCTTAATTAATGGTTGGGCTTTGTTGTTTCGTATTAAATTATACTACGTACTATAGTAAACAAACGGCCTTGAGTTGCCAACTGTCTCCAGCAGTGATCGAAGAATCTTGAACGAGACTGTACCTGCTACTTATGACCTAATAATACAGGTGTTTATGGGTTAAGGGATCATTAGACTCTACTGTACTAACTAATATGGAATAACTACCTGTTAATAATGTAGATAATTGGGAAGGTGTTGGTTGACCAGATGTGGTACTAACAGGTAATCTTAATACTGGTACTTGGTAATTTCTTCCTGTCAGATAATTATGATTTTGTCTTGTTACTTTTATATATATTTATATATTAAGGCTATTTTACCTGTGTTATATTTTGCCTGGTTGCCATGTTTTTTATGGGTTGGTTCAGGGGTTAAAATATGAAAAGAGGAGGTAAGCTGTAAGGGACAATGATGTGAGGAAAGCATAGAGTGTACCAGGAGATTGCTCACTCACTCACCACCCACCCACCCACCCACCTGAATATTTTAATGTACAGTACAGGTATAAAGAATTATAAAGAACTATTTCCACTTCGATATTACAGATGGGTGAAGCATACCAGGAGATGTATTTAACGGATATTGTTGTGTGAGTCAGATCCTTAGAGGACTCATAGTTAAGGCAGGACTGAACTCTTAATGTGTTGATATGTACCGTATGTAGATCTTAAAAGAAAACAATTAAACTTGGTCATTTATGCCGAGTATTGAATCAGTTTGCTTCCTGTGTGATTGAAGGAAGAAAGAACATTACAATCTTCTGAAAAGTTAAAAATAATCATTATAGTATAGATTTGTCGTCTTGATGTGAAATTGGAAAGAGGTATGTTAGGAAGCGATGGTTATGCAGTACTGTATATGAAGAGTTGTGTTTTAGTGACTTGTAAGATGTGATGTGTTGGCAGCATATGTGGTTAGGAGGCCAGTGTTACTGCTTAATGGACTAATGTTTTTACTAACTAAGCAGAGCCAACTAGCAGAGTGTACCTGATATATCTTCTCCCTTGGTCACTTATCACTGCAGTACTGTCCTGATCACTATCACTGCAGTACTGTCCTGGTCACTATCACTGCAGTACTGTCCTGGTCACTATCACTGCAGTACTGTCCTGGTCACTATCACTGCAGTACTGTCCTGGTCACTATCACTGCAGTACTGTCCTGGTCACTATCACTGCAGTACTGTCCTGGTCACTATCACTGCAGTACTGTCCTGGTCACTATCACTGCAGTACTGTACATACATCTCTCTTACCCTACATAACGGACCACGCCGAAACTAATCACCGGCTGTTACTAAACCAAGCTTATGAAGGAGCTACCGTACTGTACACTTGCCTGACGTACAGTACACTAACCTCGCGTCTCCACCACTACATATGTTGCACCATCACCTCATAAGGACACATGTTGAATATAGCGTTTAATGAGTGAGTTTGTCATAGTTGTCAGAGATGATGCTTCCTGACTCTTATACTGTACTGACAGTCATTGATGGATGGGTAAGCTTGACAGATTGACAGACAGGTGGTAAATATTATTGATATAGACAGACAGACAGATAGATGGTAAATATTATTGATAGACAGACAGACAGATAGATAGATGGTAAGTAATATTGACAGACAGACAGACACAGTGGTCCCCCAGTTAATGAACACAATTTGTTCCACAGAGTCGTTCGTTAACTAAACCATTATTTCAATGGGATATTGGGTAATTGGTTCCAGCTCACAGAAAAGTACATACTGAGTAAAAAAAAATGCAGTAAAGTACACGTACTTTGAGGTGTGTATGATGATGATGATGGAATTAGAAGTGGGGTGGAGGAGAAGGGAGAAGAGAAGGAAATGGGGATGGAGAAGAAATCACCTTTCAGGGGACCCATGCTTGATGCAGTAATTTCACCAATAAAATTTTTAGTTCACTAGGTGTAATTCAAGATTATTTTATTTAAATCAACACTGCACTGCCCTATATATTTTCAATATGTTAACTAAATTTCAGAATGACCAATAATTTAATGTAAAAATGCAAAAATATTCAAGACACCAACAAAATCGATGTTCACTCAACAAACAAAGCCACACTGGCGCTTGGTGGGTGAGTCAAGGCTGATGGCACAAAAAACTAGTTCCCTGTACCGCATATATTATCAATATGTTAACTAAATTTTAAAATAACTAATAATTATAAAAAATGAAATATTAAAGAGCAACTTTCTTGATATTTACTTCATTGGCAATGAATGTAAACATAGAACAGATTACTGAATTGGCAGACCAACCCATCAGCTGATGCTCACAACAAAATGTGTTTGTCGTAAGGATTTCCTTAATCGAAGTGTTGTTATTAACCGAATTGAAGATTCTTATGGGAGGTAATTCGTTAACTGAAATTTCGTTAATCGAACCGTTCGTTAACCGAGGGACCACTGTAGTGACAAATATTATGGACTCAAGCTATGGACAGTTATAAAACAAAATTAAAAATAGCTGAAATATTTCCTTTATGAAGCGTTTAGATAATTTATTCAGAAATATAATTTATGGTACAGATTTGTTCTAAAATACAGGTGAAGTAAATCCACAAATGGTGACATGATTATAAGTGTGTTAATGTAAGTGAATAGAAGTGTATCTTAAACACTTATTATCCCTTATTATCGTTAACATCTTCCAATTAGCTGCTTCATAACCACCACCAATACAGTAATTACAAAACTGAACTAATCTCTCTCAAAGGCCTGAATTAGTCAGTAGTAGACAGGTAGACACTGGACCTGTAGTAGAGAGTGCCTGTCATCCTTGGGTTTATATTAGCTTGATATAACCAACGCTAACCAGCTGCTTCTGTTATGATCAATCCAGACCCAAGTGGTTTTGTTATGTGTGGGGGACGAAAGAGCTCCAAGTTTATTTCTCTTAACGTTTTGGGCTACACGGACCCATCTACAGAGAGAAAAGTTAGAAATAAGGAAACATAGCTCTTTCTTGAGTTTCCCTCCCTCCCATCAAGATAGTTTTGGTTATGTCTCATCTGGGTATTAGTCAAATCACAAGCTGGTTATTATCTATCTTGAGATTTTATTCTTGCAGCCTTAGATATGGATATACAGTATTGTGTTGTGGTAATGTCTTGTCTGTCTTCATCTGCTAACTTCAGTCTCCTTAAATTAATTCCAGTTTATGTTGTTCAGGCTTGGTCCAGATTAGCTTTAGCTAGGTGATAGGGTTTGATAGGTGTTAGGTTAGGTTTTGTTGGTGCAGTTTAATTAGCTTAGGTTAGGTTTTCATATATGCGGTTTAATTAGGTTAGGTTTTTGTAGATGCAGTTTAATTAGGTTAGGTTACCACCAAACCTACATAGAGACTTAAACAATAATAGGTTGATCCTCATGAACACTGTCAAGGAAGATGTTGTGTGGCAGTGTAGTCATCTGTGTGTTACTGAGTCGTGGTCAGTGTGGTGACTTGCTCAACCTTGGCTTTGTGCACAGATCCAGAGTTGTAGTGATGAAAGGTGTAATGTGTAGGCCAGATTTCTTTATTATTATTATTATTACTTATTATTATTATTATTATTATTATTATTATTATTATTATCATCATCATCATCATCATCATCATCATCTATTGTAAATGTGATGATAGTACATATAGATGAAGTAACCTCCCTCCCCCTCAACACTCACTAATATATTTTGAGGTGTTACTGTAGTATTACCATCATGCAGGAACCCAACAGAGTTATGGAGATTCATCACGAGGTCCAGGGTCTTATTACCATCGGGAAAATATGATGAATAATTAATGGCAGAAATCTACTTTAATATATCGATGAATATTTACTACAGAATAAATCTAATCATATATAAATGAATAGTTACCAATGGCAGAATCTACAGGAGTATTTATATATCGATGAATAATTACCAATGGCAGAAATCTAATCCTGTATCTCTCTGTGTCTACCTGCAGGTGCTATACACGTAAGTAATCCCATTGGACGGCAAGCAAAGGGTCTTAGTCATCTTAACCTCTCCCACTGTGGGCTGACCGGTAAAGGTGTTAACATGCTTGCACATTCCCTCTCAGTTAATAAGGTGAGTCAGTCATTGTTTACTCATCCATATTGTGTTGGGGGGTTATGTTCTAGTGAGGTTTTATTTATAGTTTTTATTTGTGACTTGGATTTATTTTATTTTTATTTTTATTTGTTAGTGTGTAGGGTAGGGTGAGGTAAGGTGGCGGAGGAAGGAAAAAAATGGATGGTCCTTTTATTTTATTTTGTCTGTCTTGTTGTCATCATCATCTTTGGCATCATATTATTGTCATCATTAGCATCAGTATCATCATCATTGCCTTCATCATCATCATCATTGTTGTCATCATTTTCATTATTGTTGTCATCATCATCTTTGGCATCATATTGTTGTCATCATTAGCATCAGTATCATCATCATTGCCTTCATCATCATCATCATTATTTGTCATCATTTTCATTATTGTAGTCATCATCATCGTCATCATCATCTACACTATGAATATGTTTAGGGAACTTGATGTTTAGTTATCTCATTTAAGTTCTACACTGAACTTTTATAAACCACTTCCTGTAAACCTATACAGTACAGTACAGTATATTAAATTAATCTGTACAGTCTAGTTCTTGGTACAATGTGTAAGTTTTTGGATCACCTGAAGAATTTCCACCCCAGCTTATTTCACCTAAAGATTAACCACCCTAATGCTAACCTAATATTAACATAACCTAACCTCATTCCCTCAAATAGGATTAGGGTGGTTAATCTTTAGGTGAAATATACTAAGAAAGTATAGATTCTTCAGGTGGTCTGATTTTTCCTCTCATACAAGAGCTCACCATTCAGAAGACTGATTTAGGGAATAGTCTGTCATTTACAGTGAAACCTCTATTTAATGGACTATATAGAGAGGAAAGTCCATTATATAGAGAGTCCGTTAGATGTGAAACCCTCATCTAATGGGTTATAAGGAGAGAGTAGTCTGTTACATGGAGGTTTCGGTGTATTCATCCCAGTTCTTGTTGGTAGGTCTTGTGTGGAGTCCTTCCTGGAATCTCTCACAAACTAGCCCCAACAAGTCATCTAGTTTACTTCAGTTACTCCTCACAACCCAACTTCACACACACACACACACACACACACACACACACACACACACAAGCAGTACTTTCATCTATTATACTTCATCTTCAATGTTTAAATGAAGTCTAGTGTAACAATTTTGAGTCTTGTCTTTATTCCAGAGCTGTAAATGGGGCTGTTGTCTTTTTCCCAGTGCTATAATTTTGTTTCTCTCTCTCTCTCGTGTTTCAGTATATGTGTCAAACTTTAACATTCCTGAGTCTGGCCGGCAACTCCTGAGATGACGTCAACAACTTATATAACTTCCTAGCACAACCTAACTCCCTCAAGACGCTCGACCTTTCAGCTACCGAGTGTGCCATTGATGCGGTGAGTGAGGCGTCTCTATCTTAGTGGGTTTTATGCCACCACCACCATAGAGTGTACAGTATGTGGTGGTATATTGTGTTACTCTTAGGTGTGTTGTTCTGCCTCAGTAAATTTTTTTCATTCTGTAACTTGAGATTTTATAGATCAAGACAAAATGTGGTTAATACAGTAGCATCATATGAAATTATTTTGGCTATCTTTAATAATTGACATTTTTCAAACTTCATTTACTAGTTATGGTCACTTTATGATTTTGAAATTTTTGCTGCATATAACATCAGTTTCTGTAATAGTCTAAATCCTTATATCAGCTTTTGAAGTTGGTCTTCTGATTAATGACTTTATTGGTTGATCAGTTCAAGTATAGGCAGCTGTAGGGATATATTAGATACCGACTCATTTATTTCCTCAGTGCAATGTTCAAAGGCAACCAATATTTATTCATCTGGGTAATTGTTTCCTTGCAGGTATTTGGTGCATTATTACGAGGATGTACCAGTAGCTTAGCACACCTCATTTTATCACGCAACAGTTTTGGCAGCAAGAAAAGCAGAGAAATGCTGCCGTCCTTCAAGCAGTATTTTACATCTACCTTGGCCCTAAAAACCCTCACGCTGTGTCAGTGTAAACTTCCTGCAGATGCTCTCAAGTGAGTTACAAGTGGTAGTAAGGCACTCAAGTGAGGTTATGCTTCAGTATCACGATTAGGTTAGGTAAGGTTAGTGTGGATTAGCGAGATTAGGTTAGGTAAGGTTAGTGTGGATTAGCGAGATTAGGTTAGATGAGGGTTGTACTCCCATATGGTTACAGTGTTATGGTACCTTAACTGACTGTAACATGATTAGAAATAAAGTAAATGCCAACTTGAGCTAATTATCTACACTAGTTAATATGTACTCATTAAATTGTTCCACTTTATTAAATAATGGAGAAGTTAAACACAAATGGAAGTTTAGGAAGTTTTGGCTCATTATGATATATGTGTAGAAGATGGTGACTGTGTAGTTGGGTTTATTATCTGATCAAGGTTAGTTTGTCTACTGTATTTAAGATGTATTTCAGTCTCTCATTGACACTAATAAACTTATTTAATTCTCTACAGTATTTCAGGCCTTCTCAAAGTTCCATGACAGTCTAATGAAACTTATTTCCTTCTCCCACCTCCTCTCTATCTCCATCCGTAGGAATGTTCTACTAGGATTAGCCTGTAATGAAAACATCTCAGAAGTTGACCTGGACCTCAGCAGTAACCAGCTCAGTGCCACCCGGCGCAAATATTAGAGTCCTGTATCCACGGCGTTCGATGTTTGTCAGCGCTAGACATTTCCGATAATGGTAAGAGAAAGAATTTGTTTTGTTTTCAGATATATTTAGATATTGGATGTTTTTGAAGATACTGTAGTGACTGAAATATATTTTTTGAATATATTGTTTTAATATATTCCCTGTAGTGTAATTTGATACAAGTTTGAAGAATGATGCTTACTTACATATTTGTGATGCATGTTTTATGCCAGACAACAAATATAACTCGTTACTTTTTCTTAAGTTTAATATCTCACGTGAATTTATCCCTCACAGGGTTGGAGACTCAGCTGGGTCCTGTAGTAGCAGCAATTAGTAAAAACAAAAGTATTAAAAAATTAAATATTGGCCGCAACCTCAATAATATCAAGAGTAAACATGTTTACCACGTGATGGAGTCGGTTGTTCAAATGATTCAGGTGAGTTATGGTGGTCATCGTCAGTGGGAGTTAGCTAGGACGGTGGTCATCAAGTTAGCTGGACGGTGGTCATCAGTGGAGTTAGCTGTAGGGGTGATCAGGAGTTAACTGTAGGGACGGTGGTCATCAGTGAGTTACTGAGAGGTGGTCATCAGTGGGAGTTAGCTGTAGGGACGGTGGTCATCAGTGGAGTTAGCTGTAGGGACGGTGGTCATCAGTGGGAGTTAACTGTAGGGATGGTGGTCATCAATAGTGGGAGTTAGCTGTAGGGATGGTGGTCATCAGTGGGAGTTAACTGTAGGGAAGGTGGTCATCAGTGGGAGTTAGCTGTAGGGACGGTGGTCATCAGTGGGTGTTAGCTGTAGGGACGGTGGTCATCATCAGTGGGAGTTAGCTGTAGGGACGGTGGTCATCATCAGTGGGAGTTAGCTGTAGGGACGGTGGTCATCATCAGTGGGAGCTAGCTGTAGGGACATGTTCTTTGCATTCCACTTTAGCACCTGTGGGAGTGAAATAGGGAATCTTTAGCTACCAAGTAAAGATAAATTCTAATTTCTGTAAGATGTTTCTTATCTGAACCATGACAAAAAACCTCCAGGACACCAAACACAGTACAGTATAGGTATCTGTTTATCACCAAAATATAGATGGTGTCTAGCCAATTTCGTGATCCTGTGAATGTGTTAGGTTAGTTTAGGGTGTTACAACTGCTTACAAATATATCCCCACATTCCAGGAAGAAGACTGTGTGCTAGATCCCCTCTCCATAAATGACTCCCGACTTAAAACAGACCTGCACAACCTCCTAAATGCTCTAGGTAGTAATCACTGCCTCCAGAGTCTAGATATAAGGTGAGTTGTCCTCTTACCAGGTGCTAGTTAGGTGTGGTGTTATAAATCAGCTGTGACCAAGACAAAGTTACTGATATGTATGGACTGTAGTTAGAATTTTGAGGCCATGTGTTCATCAATTTTTACCCCCAAAACCATTCTTCTGAGTTAGATATTTTTGATAGGTGAAAAATTTGTCTCAATAAATAAACTTTAGCTTGATTGCAGGTGATGAATATTGAATGAAAATTAGCTTAGACACTGGTGATAAATAATGAATAAAAATTAGCTGAATTACAAGTAATTCATTTGTTTATAGACTTAAATGAACCTTGAGTTAACTCAAAGGATACTAATAAATTTTTCTCCTTAGGTGTATTAATTAACACTTAGAAAATTGACATCCTTTAGAGCCCCCTCATCGTAAGGGTAACTCAGACCATTCCGGGCAAAACCTGTTTTTTGTTGGAAAGCACTATTTTCGACCTAGCTCTATCTGATGGTAGTGGATAGGATCTCCTTACTAGATGGTAAATAAGGTTGAAAGCCCTTTGAAAATGGGGTGTAAGATCGATTTGTGGCGGACAGGAAAGTATGGGCTTGGCTTTCGCTTTGTCAGGTGCTCTCGTCCCGTCAGTGAGTGAGTGAGGAGCGGGCGGCCATTCTCAGTGGCGGCCCCAGCCTCCTCCCCCATCTCGGCCAATCACAGTGGCCGGCCCACAGCCTCCTCCTCCGTCTCTGCCAATGACAGTGAGCGTCTGCTATCTACGTCACGGCCCCTCCGGCCAATGAGCGAGGAATCCCTCTCTCCCTCTCCCTCAGTTCTCTTTTGTTGTGGCAGGATCTACTGTACACTTTGATATCGATTAAAGTCATAAAAGCCTTAAGCGGTTTGGAATTTTGCTGCTTCAAGTCAACATTGCAACAACCTAGTACATTTCTGTATTTCACGAGGCACTACCTACCATCTGCAAGTACAGTCCTTTAGCTTCAAAATGCATTCAAAATGAATGCTGCATCTCAAAAACAACAACAGTTTTGCTTGTTAGAAGTTGGAAAACTTTAAAAGTGACTTTCTTGGCTTTCAAATTTTGGTGCAAGTTACCCTGACAATGCGTGGGGCCTCATATAAGCTCTTGAGTTTCATTGGGTCATTTACTGTTGATGAAATTGTGTTACAGACAGAGACAGACAGATGGAAGATATACTAATTAGATAGATAGATATTTATTTGGTAGGGACACTTCCAAGTTTACAATAGGTTTGACATGTACAGTATATAGACAGTGCAGGTATACAAACAATGACATATTAACTAGTTAGGGATTATATTATTTGTTAAGAAAGTAGTTTGAGCATAAGAAAGTAGTTTGAACATAAGAAAGTAGTATGAACATAAGAAAGTAGTTTGAACATAAGAAAGTAGTTTGAACATAAAATAGTTTGAACAACAGGAAGTAGTTTGAACATTAGGAAGTAGTTTGAATGTAAGTAAGTAGTTTAAGCATAAGAAAGTAGTTTGACAACAAATAACTTTTGTTCCAGTGGTAATTACATGGGTGATAGCGGTGCACGACTTCTTGCCAAAGCTCTCCAGATTAACTCCAAACTCCAGTATATAAGCTATGATAGGAATAACGTTACATTACAAGGCTATAGTGATATTGCCTATGCATTACAAAGGTGAGATTTATGTATCGTATTACAGTACTTTTATCTTGAAACAGTCTTGGGATTACAGTGAAATTTTGTAAAATATCAAGTTTGTCAAAGTTGAAAATGTTGCTCCAGTCATTTGATTACAGGGAATTTGGTTTATATTTTATTTTGTTTTCATACATTTTTTCTCTGTCTTCAGTAATTACAGTGTAAAGTTCATGCCATTTCCTGTACATGACGCCATGTTGTGCATGAAGACAGCACCGGAGCGAACTGAGAACATCATGCGTAGAATCCAGGACACTCTGTACAGGAATGTTTCTCCGATGAAGTACTCCAATGGACAAGCATTCAGATTACAACAGGTGTGTTATCTAGTGTTTACCTCTAGTTTTCAGTGGTATATGTTTCAGGTAATTTATAAAAAAAATTTATTTAACATTTATACTGTAAGCTGTTGAAATTATGAGGCATTCATTATATCTTATACTGTGAGTGAAATCATAGACAGTACAGTACTGTATACAGTACATGTATACCGTACATACCTGAGGTACAGTCGTGAACTAAAGTCCTGTTGCCTCTCCTGCTGCTCCATGAATTCCAAGATTCAGGCTCATGAATCTAAAGCATTTATTGGCAGAATAATGCATCAGTGTGTACTGCTTTGGGTTCACAAGTCTGAATACAGTACTGTAGTACTGTAATGGGATTCATGGTGCAGCAGTAGAGGCAATGGAACTTTTGTTTGTGACTGTACATAAATGACCCTTGATTTTTCACAAGGTTCAAGATTTATTGATTATACAGTACACTCCATAAATGGATATATGTAAGTTAGTTTTATTTTGTCAGTCTTAATTTTACATGTACAGTACTGTACTGTACAGCATTGGGTGTCTTAGAGTAATGTATGCATGCTGTATTATAGATTTTTGAGATCATGTGAATGTTTGTATATTACAATAGCAACATGTCCTGACTTGTTGATATGTGAGGCCTCCCACAAGTGAGGATAATGTTGCTGTTGTAATACAAACATTCACACGATCTCCACGCAAATCAATAAGATGGCGTGTTTAAAATTTTTTGAGATACCCAGTACAGGTATTTCAAGTTGTGATTTTTCATGCTAATAAAAAACTCTCACTCTTTACTCCCAACTCCAGGGCTTCTTATTAAGTTCAACGCAGCAGCAGGTAGACCGACTGGTGCTACAGACTGGTGAGGTTGTCCGGACGCTGCGGCGGTCTGGGAGCGACCTGGGCGGCTCCAACTCCTTACAGTGGGCTGAGGGACTCATCACTGATGCCGACAGCTCTAAACAGGTAAGTCCGAGCCCATGGTTGTTTCTGCTACCTGGGTTTCCTTGTGTTTCCATGGATTGATGATGATATTGTCTGTCATTCTCTCTCACTTATTGTCTGAGGCTGATAAGTGGGATAGAGAAACATTAAAATGGGGGGAATGGTAACGGAGATTAGTGGAAGATGAGTGTAGAGAGCAACAGGAAGTGATTCAAACAAGTAGGAATATTTGGATCACCTGAAGAGTAGCCCCCTCACCTTATTTCACCTTAATGTTAATCACCCTAATGTTAACCTAACCTGATATAACTCGACCTAATCCCCCCAGATAGGATTAGGGTGTTCAATCATCAGGTGAAATAAGCTGTGGTGCCCACTCTTGAGGTGATCTGATTTGGGTCAAGAGTCTTACTGAGTCGACTCCTTCATGGATGGAGGTACTGTAAGGTGCTCAGCTGTGCCTTGAATATGTAATTTGATGTATTAAGATATTTGAATGTTAGAAAATGTGGACCGCTTGAAAAATCTCCACCCTAAGTTAACGCCTCTAATCTAACTTAACCTAACTTCATTCCCCCCTAAAGTGTATTAGGGTGGTTAATCCTTAGGTGAGTAAGCTGGGGTGGATATTCTTCTGGTGTTCCAAAAATTGTTGCTGCCATGTTTTCATTGTTACAGGAACCAGGTAAGTTTATTTTTTGGTAACTATAGAAAAGTGACAGAAAATAGGTAAGTTTTTTATTGTTTCAGAAGAGTTTTAGTAAAGCGGGCAAGATAATTTGGTGTTATAGAGAATTATGTGAGTTTGTTTACAGTTGACGGTTGTTTTAGACGGCTGGTGTTGATGTTGTCGTGATACACCTTGATGTAGGGCTCCATAGTCTGCAACATCTGGGCAGTGAAGACTTCATACCGGTTATCGTCAGGGTCGTTGGAAAGGAGGAGCTTGAGTTTCTCAACACACTCGATGGCACCCCTTACATTACTATGCTATAACTTGCGTTCTTCTTGGGATGACGCACCACCTGCCTCTTCACTGACATCATCATCATCTAACATCTCGTCGGCAGTCACATCAGGATCCCTTATCACCTCCAGGATGTCGTCGCTGGTGGTCTCGGAGAAGCCTGCAGCTGTAACACTCTGCGCAGCTTCTCTGGCAAGGTCCACTGCTACTGCAACACTCTGAACCTCACCAGTCACAGATTGACTCTGCCTCCCGCCTGGAATACCTTGCAACACATGTCTCCATGTGTGACAAACCATTGCTACAGACAGCTGATCCCATGCCTCCACCAAGAAGTCCACAGCTTTCTTGACATTGAATTTTCTCCAAAAATGTTTCACAAGTACTTCTTGCTCTGCCAACTGTTGTTCCTCGTCGTCATCGCTCTTGCTGTCGGTGTCACCCAGGTTACGCAACTCATCCTTGGTGTTGGTATAGCCGTTCAGGAGCTTTAACTTCTTTGCAGAGAATGCAGCTTTCACATTACAGATCAATTCTTGGTCCATGGGCTGTATTAATGACGTAGTGTTGGGAGAAAGGAAGACCACTTTTACGTTGGGGTGACGATCTAACAGTAGGGGCGAGTGTCCTGGTGCGTTGTCAAGCAGCAACAAAATCTTGAATGGAACATTCTGTTGCTCACAGAATTTCTTCACATCGGGAACGAAACAGTCATCAAACCAGGAGAGGGACAGAGTAGAGAACATCCACGCCTTACATGCGGTCAGCCAGTGGACATTTAGCTTGGTCATGTCCATGCTCTTGTAGGCGTGCGTCTTGCGTGCTGTGTGGATCACCGATAACTTGAGCTTACAGGTACCGGAGGCATTGGTGGTAAACAGGGCGGTGATGTGCTCCTTCTGCAACTTCCGGCCCCGACACTTGCTGGCATTCTTCACAACGAAGGTCTTGGAAGGCAGCTTCTTCTAAAAAAGACCAGATTCGTCCATGTTAAACACCTGGTCGTCGGTGTACTGTCCTTCCTCCATAATCTCACATAAAAACGGAGGAAATTCCCTAGCCGCAACACGGTCAGCACCAGCTTCTTCACCACCAATGTTAATGTTGGTGATCTTGTTCCTCTTCTTAAAGCTCTGCAACTACCCAGAGGAAGCATTGAAGGGTTTGGGCTCTGCAATTCCCATCTTACGTGACACTGCAGCATACAGTTCACGTGCGTACTCCTTAACTGAGCGCGTGTCCACCACCATGTTCCGTTGTGCCTGACGAATCAAGTAGCTCACAAGTAATTTCTCCGTCTTGAGAAGCACCTGGTTGTGGCAATACTTGATCGTAGAAGCACCTGTAGACTTTGTGATGTTCATGTGCTCCTTTATCTTGGCTGCATCCTTCTTAATTGTCCGGATTGTAGATTCGTTAACACCATGCTGGCGCGCGAGATCAACCTGTCTTGTTCCTTTCTCCAACTCTTGGATGATCTTGTATTTAATTTCGTAGCTTAGGGAACGTCGTATCTTCTTTGGCTTAGGGCGGCTGGGTCCATGTAATGCAAGGTTTCTTTGTGGTGGTGGTGGTGGTGGTGGTGGTCCGGTGGAAGCCATTCTTATGAAACAATAGATACCGATATACACGGTGTAGTCTGAAGGGGTGTAACTGGCGCGGGTAGGTCAAGGGGCTTGGACGCTTCCGCGGCGGGGCACGTCATAGTACATTAAACCAATCACAGCTAGCGGGGGAGGGAGGTAAGGATGCTTGGCCCAATCACAGTCCGATACATCATATGATGTCACCGATAACGCAACAAAGACATACACTGCGCAACCTACTCGTGCTGCTTACCCAACATGGCGGGAGAGATGGCGGGAGGTTTGAATCCAAAAATGGCGCGGCACGAGAGGACCACAAGCCGCTCTCCGCGTAAAAGAGTACACGCACCACGTAAAGTGAGCATTCTGTGTTCGGCAGGGTACCACGTAAACGTGAAAACGCGTAAAAAACGCGTATAGTGGGGGTAATACTGCGTGTGTGTGTGTTACGGGAATAGCCCACAGCACTGGTCATCGACCCTACAAGAAGTGGTAAAAAGAAATTAAAAATAGAAAAGAAAAAGATTATATTAATCTACACCACGAAGATACCGGAGAACCAGCTTTATGATGTGAGACAGATTGTGTGAGTATGGAAACACAGGAGAAGGCAGAGCATTCCACAGTTTGGCTGTGTGAGGAAAGAAGGGTGTACTATAACAGGTTATTAAAGTGTGACCGACGTCCACAGAGAAAAGGTAGGCACCGCGGGCAAGACGAGTGTTATGAGCCCAAGGCCTTACCGGCGGTACACAGGATGCCAAATCCACCGAACATTGCCCGTTAAAGTACCTGTAAAAGAGAGAGTGAAGCAACATTGCGGTGAAGAGAAAGAGAAGGAAGATTATCAACTAAAGGAGGAGAGTCAATAAGACAAAATGCCTTTGATTCCACCCTATCCTACAGTTAGACAGAAGAAGAGCCACCCCAGATATGAGAACAGTACTCCAAGTTAGAACGAATGAATCCCGTATATACTTGAAGTAACTGTTCAGGAGTGAAGTAGCTACGGCATCTGTACAGCATTCCCAACTTTCGGGAGGCAGCTTTAGCAATGTTGTTGATGTTTGGCTTCCATGACATATTAGAGGAAATGGTGAGGCCTAGCATATCTATTTTAGAATTTGACAGAATGATTGTATCCTGAAATGTGATTGGTGGGAGATCATCTAATTTGGAAAGTGTAATTGGTAAATACCGAGTTGTATTACTACCTCCCCATTTGGAGATGCTGCACAGATCCTCATTGATAGAGGTAATGATATCAGCCCTAGAAACAGGCCTAGTTTGAGAATTAGGGGGAAGGGGAAAATGTGAAGAAGAGTGAAGAGTAGAATCATCATCATAAGAATGGATAGAATTAGTCGTAGTGTGAAGTAAATCATTGAGAAAAAGAAGGAAGAGAGTAGGTGACAATAGACCCCTGTGGGACACCACAGGTTAGGTTATGTTAGGATAGGTTAGATTAGTTAGGTTATGTTAGTATAGGTTAGATTAGTTAGGTTAACGTTAAAGTTAAATAAACTGGGGGTGGGGGAGAATCTCCACCTTTATATATAAGCTTTGGGTAGAGTTCCCTTAACCTGGCTTATATATAAATAAGTTGAGGGGTTAAGTTACAAACCCAAATGGTCTGTTCTCCATTTATTGGTAAAACTATATTAGTCACAGTCTATTAGTAGATGCACCGTAATTAACACTGTAAGCTGTGAGTGTTAGTTAAGGACGGGGTCTCGGCTTGACTGGGTAAGATCACCCGTCCGATTCTCGTGAGACTCGAGTGAAGACTGGTGCCTGTGAGGGGAGGCTCTGAAGGAGAGACTGGGCTAACCCTACATTCTCAAGGTCGGCTTACTGATAGAAGAATTTCCCCTCACGTGAACTGCACATGGCACCTCACAGCCTATGGAAAATTACCGTGGGGTGATTGGATTATATAAGCTAAATATATTAACCCAAATTTATATAATTGTTATTGCCAAGAGACAGGGGCTAATACAACAGTATATTGGGGGGATATCATGAACTGTCTTCCTGTATGGGCGTTTGGAAGGCTAAGGCTGCTGTTTGTTTGTGACGTGTTTGTGCAGGGGATTGTTTGTCGGGGAGGGGGTATCTGTGTGTATGTGGGGGGGGAAGGGATATCGGTGTGTGTGTGTGTGGTGGGGATTTGTTTATGGGGGTATGTGTGTTTGTTTGGGATGTGTATGTGTAGGGGGATGTAGGTGTGTGTGTGGGGGAGAGTATGTGTGCGGGAAGGATATGTGTTTAAAATACTACTCTGTCAAAGGTGATTATTAATAGATTGTGTTAATGTGGTTGACCTTTTAGTGTGTGTGTGTGTGTGTGTGTGTGTGTGTTGCACCTCCGTAATATTGATTCACCTGGGCTGGTTGAGGTGAACTAAGGTGGTGGGTGATTGTTGTCTTCACTCCTGGTCTGTCTGTGTGTTAGGTGTCCTGGTCACT